TATATATATATATATATATATATATACCTTATGTGCCATAGAGATGTAAATGACTTTCAGAAATTTTGTTTTTCATTTGAAATTTGAGAAATATTCCGTATTTTAATACTGTTTTTACTTTTAATATATATATATATATTGCGTGCTTATTCTCTATATGCATCTATATCTTTTTTATTTTTATTTTTATGTGTTTGTATGCTTTTGCAAATTTTATTTATTCTTGGTTTTTGATAGCTACACATGCCTCCCAAGAGACCGGTTCTTGAACATCTAAGGATAGATCCTCCAGAAAAAACCGTATCGATCACAGACACATTGACTCTAGTTGTAAAGGGCGATGGTGGTCTTGAAATGCGTGTAAAAGAGAGTTGTATTGCTTCTGGTCCAACGTTTCCCGCTCGGGCAGCGGAAAAAAAAGATAATACAAAGGATGTATCTGCGGAAGAAATAAGATTTGAAGATCTACGTACCTGCCAAGAGTTGGGAAAAGGTTCTCAGGGAAGGGTTAGACTCGCTTTACATCTTTCTAGTAAGAAAAAATATGCTGTGAAGTATATTAGGCTGGAAGAGGATACGGATAGCATGCGTCAGGCTCTTGAGTCAGAACTAAGGCAAGTTAAATCATTGATGCACAAAAACCTTGTAACTTCACACGAAGCGTTCTTTAGGGATGGAAGAGTTTATATTGTGCTAGAATATATGGACGCGGGGAGTATTGCTGATGTGCTCAAGCGTCACTCTAACAATTTTAAGGAGGTAATGTTGGCATACGTGGCGAGGGAACTTCTTCAGGGTTTGGAGCACCTTCATGCTTCAAAAGTAATTCACCGTGACATAAAACCTGTGAATGTTCTTGTAAATTCGAAAGGTGAGGTTAAGATAGCGGATTTTGGTGTTGCAAAAAGATTTTCTGGTGGAGATGTAGAGACATTGTCGGCTCAAGGGTCGATTATATATATGAGTCCTGAGCGCATTCAAGGACAACCGTACTCCTTCAATAGCGATATATGGAGTGTGGGGATGACGATAGCAGAATGTGCACTGGGAGCATATCCGTTTATGCCAATGAAACACAACCTATATGATCTTATGCAAGCCATTGCTACGAGAAGCGCAAGGATTGATTGGACCACCGATGGCCGTGAGCACTCTCCGGAGCTTATTGATTTCGTTGATCAATGTCTCCGCCCTGCCAGCGCACGACCCACAGCCACCGACTTCCTCCACCATCCGTTCATTCAAAAGGCAACAAATGTAGATCCTATTGAGGCCGGAAGCTGGTTTGTTGCTCATTCTTAACTTTACTACTTGGGTAAAATGTGTGTAGAACCTTTTTTTTTCTCCATTCATGATCTTGGTATTGGTCTTGCTGCATGCTTAAAAAAAAAAACCATTATTCCGTGATTTGGCGGAAAAAAAGATATGTATGCCTTTATTTTATTGCCATTGTTGCTGGTATTGTTTTTTTTTTCCTGTTTCCTTTGTTCTTCTCCTCCTTCCATTTTTTATTTTATTTATGTATACAAAAAAGATAGATGCCTCCAAAGGAAAACAAAAAAAATTTAAAGTTTGACAGGGACCCCCAGGAGGATGAGCAACAGCTAAATGATGATATTATGAAAATAAGCATGCGCTTGTCCGCCCTGAAGACGCAATATTCAGGACGTCTTGAGGAGATATTGGTTTTGAGGCGTGAACAGAAAGAGCTACAGTGTAGTTGTGCCAATTTTGAAGACGACCTTCGTCTTGCTACATCGAATAAGGTAGACGTGTTGACCGATTTTGCGCGTCAATACAAAACCAAGGAAGACGAAAAAATACGCGTTTGTACAAAGTTAGATGATACTTTAAACTGCCTTGAGGTGGAAAAATTGAGGCTTACTGATGAAGCCAAACGGGCGGAAACTGAATATGAAGATGCTATCAATGCGCTAAAAGCAGAGCATGATTGTTTATTGGCTCGTATAGATGAGATGGAAAAGGAGGTTAGTGTTATCCTGGACAATACGCGTTCCAGAATGCCTGATGACTGGACCGAACCTATTTCATTCCCATAATTCTAACAATGTAGCACATTTTGTTTAGTTTAGTTTTGATTCTTCTAGCTGGCGTTGCTGAACCCATATTGGTTAAAGTGTCTTTCCGTGGGATTACCTTTTTGGCTTGTTTTGAAGCTTGACGGATTTCTATACGTGTGAATGTTTTTTTTTTTGTGTTTTGGCTTTTTTTTTGTTAGCTTTGGTTCTGTTTTTTCGTGTGTATGGATCTATTCTTAGGCATGCATACTCGCATTGAAGAATACGAACACACGCCTCGGCTGTCCGTCCACGTTGACACCCCTGGAGTCTCATTTTTTGAGGCTGAAGGTCTTGGGACAGGTGACCTTTACTGCGTTGAGGAAATGAAAATGAAATACAAAGGAATCAATTTCCCTCCGTGCAGTGGAAAAAATTCAGAGTTTTTCCCTGTTAGTGTCTCACTCTTAAACAGTCATAGTAAAGTTCAAAATGTGGCTGATTGGGACAGGCTTTTTGAGCTTGAACGCGAGTTGCAGTGCCTTGGTGAAGAGGTGGAGGCTTTTTTCCTGCGTTGGGTCAGTCTTCGGTGCTTGAAAAGCCTCTGGGCTCGGTAGAGGACACTCTCGAACTGGGAGAGTCCCTACATGTGTTGGGGGGTAAGCTAAATAACATTGCCGCAGAGTGCCATGCTATGGGTAAGAAGCAACAGTTCCTTAGCAAGGAAGCGGTTCAAAAAGCAACGGAGTATAGCATCGCCTTGACAGCTTACCGTGGGATAGTTTCTGCTGCGGAATCCATGACGGAAATGCTCACCGGCGTCTTCAACTGTAGGACGTTTTTGCTCTCAGAAGCAGGTGTAATGAGGCGGGCCAAGGAGGTTTCATTGCTCTTGGATGACATTGAAAAAAATATCGATTCTCTGGAGACCAGAGTAGACACACTGCGGGAACTATCAGAGACGAAATTAGACGTCTTGAAGAGGGGTCTAGATGGTCTCTCAGAATGACTTTTTGCTTGTGTTCCTGTTTGTATATATATATGTCTCCCTTTTGCTCCTCGACACCACTCTTAATATATTTTGATGAATCTCCACCGTGTACCTTGTCGTCAGAGGGTTTATTTTTCCCTCCTTGGAGTTTTGTTTTGCAAGACTTTTTTGTGTTATTTCTTTCTGGTGTGTGTGCGCTTTGGGGGGAGGGAGCTTATTAATTTGACAGGAAACCTAGATGTTGGAAGAAGACAGAGAGGCACTCCGTAGGATGAAGGCTGATTTTGAGGCCATTGCGGAATTAACGGAAAGTGAGTTCACGTCAAATACCGGGTATGCAAGGCGCATGAATCACTATAGCACGGTCTACACAGCCGCAACACGGACCACGAATGTACGATCTTTTTCTGATGCTTTTGGGTATTACGTGGATGAACTTCTCTATACGGACTTTCAGGAGATGCTGACACGCTACCTGTTGAAGTACTGCGATTTGCAGGCTTCTTCGCAGGTGCACCTCTTTGGAAAAATTTTGAAGCTGTGGGATCATTATAAAGTGCTGATGAAGTGGAACATGGGGGCCTTTGCATACCTTTCAAGGTTTTATATTGTCAACTGCGCAAAACCATCGCTCCAGCAAGTGGCGTTGAACATTTTTCTAGAACAAGTAGTGAAAAAGAATGTGAATGTAATTAGTCGAGTAACACAAGATCTTCTTTGCGCTGAAAGAAATGGTGAAGCCGTGAATCGTGACCAAATCCGGGGTGCCATTGAGTTACTTTCTTCTGTCAGTGGTGAAAAAAAAGATGAGATATTTTTGGAGCCGTTTTTAAAGCCCTACGTGGCTCGGACAAGGGCTTATTACGAGGGTCTTATTGTTGAGTGGAGCAAGTCAAGTACCCCCTCCGAATTGTTGCGGCAAATAGAACAGGCTCACAATGAAGAGAGGTCTCGCTGTACGTGTTACTTTTCTCCCGAGGACGGACAAAAAATCATGACAAACGTCGAGGAAGTACTATTGGAGTCTCCGATGACGATGGAAAAACTTCTAAAGTCAGACAGTGGCTTCATCACCGCGTTAAGGAGCCGTGATGAGGATCTTTTGAAGTTATACTACAACCTGCTCTCCTGCCGTACCAAGAGTCTTGTGTACTTGTCCAATCTGACAAGAGATGAAATTATAGCTGAGGGCAAGGAGCGATTATTGCAGCATGATTTGCAGAAGGAAATAGAGGTTCGATCTTGTGTTGCGGATATGCTTCAGCTGCAAGATGATTTTATGCAATTACTTTCCCGCTGCTTTCAGGGTCATGCCATCATGCTGAAGTCCGTGAGGGGAGGTCTTGAAAAGGCTTTCAGTGGCAGTGTTCATGTGTCTAGGGGACCGCAGCGATTGGTGCCTTTTAGTGAGTTGCTGGCGTGCTACGTCGATGCTGTTATCCAGGGAAATGAGGGCGCTACTGTTGAGGAAGAATTAGAAAGGGCCGTTGCAGCCCTTTCTTACGTGACTGACCGAGACACTTTTTTGGCGCATTCGCGTGAACTATTGGCGCAACGAATTCTTTTTCCGCGTAAAAAGATTGATGAAGTCACAGAACGATCTCTTATTCAACGCGTTAGTCAGTGCTGCGGTGTGTCTAGTACGAGTTGTCTCGAGGGAATGCTTTACGACGTGAATATCTCCGAAGGGTTTGGAGCCACAGAAAAGCTTGAGGCTGCTGGCGAGGCCCCCAGTTTCACTTTTAATGTTCTAGTTTTAAAAAAGGGCATCTGGCCACCACGGATTCAAAGTGAGTCTTTTATGCCTCCTCGCATAATCCAGCAGACGCTGCGTGCATTTCAGCGGATTTATCTCGAAGGCACAACTGGACGCGTTCTCACCTGGTCATACTCTAACAGTAACGGAGATGTCCGTGCGGTGTTTAAGAAGGGCGTTAAGATTCTCTCTATGACTGGTCTCCAGTGCTGGGTGGTTTTGGCATTCAATGATGTGAAGGAATTGACCCTCAATGATTTGATGAACCTGTTTGGTGTGTCCGTGGAGGACGCAAGACCTGTGCTGCTCCCATTGCTGAAATGTTCAATACTCCGTGGAGAATCCGGTGCCGCCACAATTCAACCGCTGGAAAAGTTTTGTATTAATGAAAATTTCTCAAGCAAGTGGAAAAAAGTGCGGGTGCCCATGGCACCATTTCGGCGTGATGGTTTGCTTCATAGTGAGGCGATAGCGAAGGAAGTGGAAGAAGACAGGAGGCCTGCTATCGATGCCTGCTTGGTCCGAATCATGAAGAGCCGTCGTGTCTTGAGTCATTCAAGTCTCTTGGAGGAATGCCAGCAGAAACTCTCACACTTGTTTTCGGCTGACCCAAAGTTTATCAAACAGCGAATCGAAGAACTCATACGAAAAGAGTACATTGAGCGTGATCAGAATGATCCTGGAGTATACCAATACACAGCGTAACCGTGTATCCCTAATCTGTTTTCCTTAAAGCGGAAATGAGGAGGAAAGGAGTGGGAAGAGAACAGAACATACGAAGAAATGCACGCATACGAACTCTGTCTCTCTCTTACTGTCACTATCACTTTATGTATGCAACCATATATGGTGCAGCTCTTTTTAAAACATTTATGCGTCGTACATTTTTTTTTTTTCTACTTCTTTTCATTTAATGGAACTTTTGTGTTGCGGATTGACTCATACGCTGCAATTTGTACTCTGCTGCACTACATGTATGTGCACGCATCTCAACGCACAGAAGTACACAGCTCGGTCTTGTTGTTTGTGTTGTTAGGATGAAGCTTTTTATAGAAGATGTGCTGGTGTTATTTCCATACGAGTACATATATCCGGAGCAGCTCGAGTACATGACAGAACTCAAGAAGGGCCTAGATCACGGTGGGCACATGGTTCTTGAAATGCCATCGGGAACAGGAAAAACGATAACCTTGTTGTCACTTCTAGTAGCGTATCTTCATCACCACGCGGATGAGAAGCGAAAAGTCATTTATTGCACTCGAACTGTTGAGGAAATGACAAAGACTGTCGGTGAACTGCGCAAGTTGCTCGAACTTTGGGATGGTGAGGCGGGAGCTAACAGACTCCTACGAGGACTTTGCTTAACTGCAAAGAAAAATCTCTGTATTAGGAGCGATGTTGCGTCCCAACGCTACCCGGAAGATGTGGATGCGGGGTGCCGTAGTCTTACGGCACCGTGGCAGACAAGCAACCGATGCGTCTACTTTGATAACTTGGAGCGTATTCCCTTTGATTTACCCCCTGGAGCGTATTCGGTGGAAAACTTAAAGCGCTTTGGTGAAACGCACCAATTATGCCCCTATTACTTGGCGCGGAAGGCCTTACGGGTTGCCGACATCGTGGTTCACTCATTTCTGTACATTGTGGATCCCATTGTGGCTGAAGTGACCAAGGAGTACTTTAATGAGAATACAATTGTCGTTATGGATGAGGGACACAACGTGGACGACGTGTGTATTGAGGCCATGTCTCTCATCATCACAAAAGAGGATGCAATGCAAGCAAAGGAGAATGTGAAACAGCTGAATGCAGCCACGGACCGTCTAAGAGCGACGAATCGACAACAACTGCAAGATGAGTATGACCGTCTTGTGAATGGTTTGGCAATGGCTGAAATGGCTCGCTCCGTGGACGGTGTGGTGGCGCCTGTGCACGCCCCTCGTATTCCGTCAGACATTGCTGATGAATCTATTCCAGGGAGTTTGCGACAGGCAAGCCACTTCTTAGCATTCATTCAGCGTCTCGTTGATTTTACCCATCGTGTCGTTTGTAGAATTTCCCGCACGTACGTGGCGGATCCTCTAACATTCCTATCAAAAGTACGGGATGAATGCGCTGTGGATATTCGTCACTTCAGGTACCTGACGGAGCGGCTGAAGGTTCTAATGAATACCCTTCAGATCACAAACTCGCATAAATTTCGTAATGTGGCTTTGATTGCACAGATGTACATGACTCTCTCTACTCACTACACCGATGACCGGTATGAAAAACCAGGATTTGTGGTTGTATGTGAGGCGCACGATCCGACGAGGCCTGCTGTACCAGATCCAGTGATTCGTCTTGTTTGTGTAGATGCTTCCTTAGCCTTACGTGAGGCCTTTGGAAAATACCGAAGTGTGGTGTTGACGTCAGGGACACTTTCACCGTTAGACATTTACCCCAAGATTCTTGGATTTACCCCGAGAATCGCCAAGTCATTCCAAATGACTCTCAGTAGAAAGTGTATAGCACCTGTGGTGGTGACGCGTAGCACGGAGAGTGTCAATATTACAACGGAAGAAATCACCAGTAGTTTTGTTGTTCGTACAAATCCTGTGGCTCAAGATGTAGTTTCCTCAGCTTATGAAGATCTTTTACGAGGTCTTGGCAAAACTGTGCCTGATGGGATCGTCTGCTTCTTCACAGGGTATCAGTATATGGGGGAGGTGCTTCTTGGATGGCACCGATCCGGATTTTTGAAGGAGTTGGCTCAGTACAAACTCATCTTTGTTGAAACCCAATCAGTGGAAGAGACATCTGTGGCATTGGCAAACTATAGGCGAGCGTGCGACATTGGGCGTGGGGCTATTTTTATGGCCATTGCAAGGGGTAAAATTGCTGAAGGAATTGATTTTGATCGTCACTATGGAAGGGCCGTGGTAATGTTTGGGGTTCCTTTTTTGCCACCAAATGATGAACCCTTGAGACAACGGATTCACTGGATGGAAACATGTTTGGGAATTCCTGGAAATGAGTATCGAAACTTTGATGCCATGAGGCAGGCCTCTCAATGCATTGGCAGGGTCTTGCGAAACAAGACCGACTACGGGATGATGTTGCTCGTTGACCGACGATTTGCACTGAATGACAAACGGAAAAAATTGCCCATATGGATTCAGCAGTGTCTGAAAGAGAACACAAATCTCAGTGTGGATGCAGCCATCGCAGTTGCACGCGGATTCTTCAAGGAAATGGCGCAGCCTTGGGAATACCAACACGACCTGGGAACCACTCTCTTCTCCAAGGAAACCCTCGCACTTAAAGGATTTCTAAAACCCTCAAAGAGATCCGTCCTTTGCAGAGCCACAGAGGCATGTAGCAGTACTGCAGAGGAAGTGATACATGAAGAAGGGGATGCCATACGTGCAGTAAAGGAGCCAGAAGGTAGGAAGCGACCTCGGTGGTAATTATTATTTTGTGGTGTTATTACTGTTGTTGCATTCTGTAAAGGCAACATCAATAACGACAACACGAACAAAACATTATGAAAGAAAGGAAGAAGAAACAGCATAACAAGCGTTGCTACATGGAATGCTTTCTTCCTTTTTTTTTTTTGTTGTGTGTGTGTGTGCTTGTCAATGGGTAATATTTTTGAAATGGAGACGCTTCAGGAAGGGCCGCTTTCATGCACCGCTGTATACTGGGCCGTGATGTGCCCTGCTCTTGTCATGGGTTTTAAGTTTATTTTTGGGAACTGTAACCTAGGCGGGGCTTTGGCCCATAGCCAGCGCGCTACCACTGGAAAGGGATACTATCGGAGTCTCGGGATAATATTTATGGTATTTGTTTTGGGACTGTTTATTTTGGCAGTACTACACCTACATGTTTTGAACTTGTAAGGGACACATGGATTGTTGCAATCTTTCTCTTTATTTCTGGCACGTTGTTGATGGGGTGGTTCGGCTGAGGTTGAACTTTTCGCCTGGCCTGCTTTGGAACCGCTTTTTGGATGAGACCAGCGTCCTCGTTTTGTGGTCGCCTTACATCGCTCTGTACCTCACCTGTGTCATGAGTGTTCCGCAGCTGGAGGAAAAGTCCTCCGATAGTTCACTTTGCCGAAAGTATAAGGTGTAATGTGGCGGACATGGATCATCGTTGTTTGATTATTGGCAACTGCGTGGGATCGAAAAACAGAAGGTCGCTCTTGTGCCTCCTAACTGTCTGTGTCTTGAATATGTTGCTTTTTGCTGTTTGTGCGAGGTGTCTGGGCATATGCGGAGGGCGGTTTTTTTCTTCTACTAGAATTACTCTTGGTGATAGACGTTACGGTGGCGAGTTTATGTTTGCCTCTCTTCCAGTGTTATCTCATGCGGAATAGTAACACAACGCCTTCCTGTAAGGAAGCGCGGCAACTTGAGAGCTCTTGCTGAGTTGATAAGGCAGTTGTGCCGTTTTTATTTCTGTTTGCTTTTTTTTTCTTCTCTGTGTCATGGGCGCCAGAAATAAGTATACATCTGTTCCTTTGGAATTTATTCCTCTCAGTCTAAGTGTGCGTTGATCTGGTCGTACTCTTTACTGGTGCTGGTTGGCGTTGTTGCTAATGTGGTGGGAGAAAGGATGCCATTTACAAGATGGGTTCAACTTGCTGCTGATTCCTTTTGATACTTTTTTTTTGTTCTTGTTGTTTTATTGGTGTTATTCTTGCCGCTGCGGGTTTGAAGGAGCAATGCCGGTGCGGAAGAAACAGCGTCGTGAAATTGTTGTCACGGGCGCAGAGGCTGTGGATGAGGTGGCTGGGAAGGACGAGAATGTTATGGTGCGCCTCGTGAACGAAAACGGTGAGCTGACTGGGACGCAAATTCTTCTCCCTGTAACAGCAACACCAAAGCAACTGGATGAGCTCTTGTGTTCCATGCTGGACGAGGATGCGCGCGGGACGCCGCATGCGTTCTTTATCGATGGGGAACAGGTGCATGACAGTGTGCGCCAGACACTGTTTAAGATGCAACAGGAAGTCTTTGTTGACAAAATGATGAAAGAAGGAAGACGCTTCAGGCAAAAGGACGTAAGTAAAGTAGAATTTGAGCTTCCAGAGGAGACAATTGTAGATATTCAATTTAAACCACAGGCAAAATTTAGGGTAAGACCCGTGACACGTTGTGCAGGAGCACTCGACGGTCATAGCGAGGCGGTACTTGTGGTCAGTTTTTCTCCTGACGGTGAAGTGCTAGCAAGTGGTGGAGGCGATAAGGAGATACGACTCTGGGACGTCCATACACTAACCCCTACGCAGGAACTTAAAGCCCACACCAGTTGGGTGCAGGTATTGTCGTGGGCCCCTGATGGGAAACATCTTATAGGCGGAAGCAAAGATGGTACCCTTATTGTTTGGTCTCACGATGGTGCGTATGGAAACTTTAAAGGAAAGCGACATACGGCCCATTCAGGCTATTTATCGCATGTTTCATGGGAGCCGCTGCATCGGAACATCGATTGTAATCGATTTGTTTCAGCTAGTAAAGACGCAACCCTCAAGGTTTGGCATACTGCAATTGGACTTCAATTTTCTCTTACAGGGCATCAGGCCTGTGTCACATGCGTGAAGTGGGGAGGTGAAAATTTTATCTATTCATCTTCTCAGGATCGAACTGTCATTGTATGGGATGCTTCAAACGGAACCCCGCTTAATATTCTTCGAGGGCATGCTCATTGGGTAAACTTCGTCGCCCTTAGCACAGATCTCGTGATCCGGACAGGTGCTTTTGATCATGAAGAAAAGAAGTTTGATTCTCGTGCAGGGATGCAAAAGTATGCGGAGCAGAGGTATCAAGAGGTGGTGGCGCGATTTGGAAATCATGAGCGTCTCGTTAGCTGTTCAGATGACAACACCATGTTTCTGTGGGCGCCACAGGAACAGACGACTCCACTGGGACGGTTGACAGGTCACCAAGGAGCCGTGTTTCACATCCAGTTTAGCCCTGATGGAACTATGATTGCTTCCTGCTCCGCGGATAAAAGTGTCAAGTTGTGGAACGCCGCTGATGGAAAGTTTATTACGACGTTTAGAGGACACGTGGCACCTGTTTATCACGTGAGCTGGAGTCTGGACTCTCGTCTACTGGTCTCTGGTAGCCGTGACTCCACCTTAAAGCTCTGGTCGGTCGAAACACGTGAATTGCTGGAGGATCTTTCAGGCCACAGCGACGAGATCTTCTCAACCGATTGGAGTCCGGATGGCCAGCGGGTTGCAACGGGCTCAAAGGACAAAAGAGTTCTCATTTGGGTTAATTAAAACGAGTAAGGCATTGAAAACACAAACACACACATCTACGGACGCATGTATGCAGATGTATTTGTAGTTGTGTACGTGCCACCGAAGGTAAATGTTAATATAAAACTGAAGGGAGTAAAAAAAAAAAAAGAATAACGTGACTCATGAAACCGTCATAGTCTCGTTGCAATGAAAATGTTCACACTGTCACATTTTCTGATTTTTCTCTTTTTTATCTGCTAAGGCAGTAATTTAGGCCTTTCTTTGTGAAACCTGTGGCCGGGCACGTATGCGCCCAGATTGAGGCTAAGTGGGTGAGCGGGGCACTTGCTCCCTTGCGCTGGTTTCCATGTGTGTTTCTTGATGGGTTTCAGCGTAGGAATTTGAGTTGTTTTGCTGTGTGGTGCTGCTACCCCATTGCGCGCCCTGCTACTAACGCCCTTCACATGGAGGGGGTACTGCGGTTGCGGGGCTCCAAAGACGGCCACTTCTTGAGTTCACAACAAGGCCGGTTAGTTGTACAACGCCTTTGTTTATTAATTATTTTCCGTTTGTGGGTTACAGCTCACCCTCGCTAGGGTTGGCACGTTATGCGTGACGGGACGAGCTGTTTGTTTTCTTTGTTTTTTTTTTATTATCGGTGTGGGAATAAAGAATAGGGTTCCATCGAAGGGTGTATTCTGTGCGCTGTACAATAAGAGCTGGGCATCACGGCCATGACGGCCTTGAGCCAATGCGAGTCGCGGGATATGTCTGTTACT